CACTGTTTTTTTAAATGTTTCATAACACAAGTAGCAAACACCTTTTAATTATGTGCAAGAAATTTTTTGATAGCTTGTCGTTGACAGGGATACGCGAAATTCATAGATGACTTGATTCAAAAATTTGCTCACTGCAAAAATACAGGGTGTTAAAAAAAAAGTGTCACAAAATAAAACGGGGGGTAGTATGGGCCAAAATATGCAGAAAAGTCTTAATAAACATATGTCCGCAAATGAATGGTTTTAGAGATACGGAGTGTTTTGTGTTTTGTATCATTTTTTGATTATCTTTTTTCATTCTCAAAAACTTGCTTTTCTTATCGGAGTCTACCGATGTTTTTTCATAGATACTATTTGCAGTTATTATTTTGTTGTGGGTGAATAATTTTATAAATTTTCGTTATGCCTGTTTACACTAATATTGAATTAGCTGACATGCATTTTATGTACGGTCGTGCAAATGGCAATGCGAGGGAAGCGCTACGTCAGTCATTTAACTCTATGTTGTTATTGATTGTTTATAAATATCATTGTTTTTTTATAATAATAAAAAATTGTTATAAACACAAAATGGTCCGTATCTCCGAAACCGTTAATTTGCGGTCATATATTTATTAAGACTTTTCTGCTTATTTTGGGTCATACTATTTACCATTTCATTTTGTGACACTTTTTTTTAACACCCTGTATACCGATGTAATGAATTCAAATCCAAATCAATGTTTATACAGGATGTTCACTTTATTTTTAGGAATATTCAAATATATTTTCATTTTTAATTTTGAATACGATAATTTACTTCATTGCTTTTATGCTATTTTCTAGACGTGGTAATTTAGATACTTTACCGCGGTATATTGAAGCACTTTTTGGAGAGGTAGAAGTAAAAAAAACCTAACTGAATTGTTTTTTATATTAAGAATAAAAAGTGCTTATTCTACAATTCCAAAAAATAGTAATAGTTGTTTTTAAAAGCGTAGAATATTCAATGATTTTTTACACTCCGTTGACTAGGTACCTAATATTTTTTATTGTTATGATTTTGAATTCTCAAACTACCCAACCTCAACTTACCGTATTTAATTTTTGGACATTCGGCCACCAAACATTTCTTAGATAAGTTCAACTTTAGCCCACTGTTGGGAGGAGTTACACCAATTAATTGAGCGCAAAGATTTATTTCTTTCTTTAATTTTACATAGTACACAAAGTTTTAGTTTTTGCTTATCAGCTTTTTTTCCCATTGTCAAAAAATATAAATTATCTACTAAACAAACAAAGAAGGTCGAAAAATACAGCAACTAACTTTTCGAATAGCAGCTTACTTGTAGGTTTGTAAAATTTTACTTGTAGAAACTTACTAATAATATTAGTGCAGTTTATTTATATTATAAAACAAAAATTACTTATAGCTTGTAATTAGTAATTGTAATTTGTACTTTTTTACTAATAATAATAGTATCATTATGAAACGAGCCTCTGGTTAAAGTAATTAAGAAATAAATGAATCAAATTCCAATGGTATTACATTACCGGGATTATCTGACAGAATACTAAGAACAGCTTTACGCTATGAATGTTTACCTGACCGAGGGCACCGCTCGGGCCAATATGTGTACCCAGACAGCACACTTACAGCCGTATGCATAGTCGATCGCCAGCGACTCGCCAGAGATTCATTCCGGCGTATCGCCAGCGATTCGCCGGCGAAAGCCCAAAAAGGTGGCGACTCGTCGGATATTGTCACCGGAATGTCATTTCACGCAAGTTTTCATTTTCTTTTATAGGGATTATTACCGGTATCTCTCGCATTTTATTCATGATTCATTTCTTAAAACTCAAAAAATAATGAACGAATATCAAATTTTTCCTTATAAAAGAACATAAAAACTTCCGTGAAATGACATTCCGGTGACAATCTCCGGCGAGTCGCCAGCTTTTTGGGCTTTCGCCGGCGGATCCCCAGCGAATCGCTGGCGATACGCCGAAATGAATCTCTGGCGAGTCGCTGGCGATCGACTATGCATACGGCTGTAAATCTTTTGGATATCTACTGGACATCTCAATATCCACTGAATGTCCAGTCCATGGTGGATATCTTATTTTATATCCATGAGATGTAATTTATAGACATGCAAATGTCCATAAATAATAGTAATTATATAGAAAATTATTAAAATATTACGCCATTGTGCTCGCCATTGTGGCTAATAGTACCGTTCAGATATTTAAAATTAATTTTTTTAAGGTGTATTCAATATACCATGCACATCCACTAAATATATCAAAGTCTAGGCGCGAACGCAAACCATAATGGATATTCACTAGATGTAATGTTTGATTTTGCTTACTAAGTATAGATGGCGATACCACTTTCGCTCGATGAATATCTACTCATGCTCAACCCGCCGTAATTGAGTTCGATCGAAATTGGTATCGCAATCAGACTCCATTAGAGACTGGAGTCGAGAATTTCCATTTATTGCTGAAGAGTCCTAATAAGGATGACTTTCTCCTTAGTGGGCCAAATCAAAGGAAGACGGTTGAAAATGTTTTGAGTGTTGAAAATATTTTTTCTCTGCTATTTTCTTTCGACGTTATTCAATAATCATTGGTTACTCATGAACCTCTACTAAAGATACCCATAAAATATTTTGCTGAATATCCGAATATCTTCTATATCCTGGGATATAGACGAACATTTGGATATCCATATTAGATCCACTGGATATATTGGATATCCACAAAATATATTCTGTGGATATCTCTGGGATTTCTTGTATTGTCTGGAAGATACCTATATTAGATATTTTGCTAGATATCCATAGGATATCTTCTATATTCTGGATATAGACGGACATTTGTATATCCATATTAGATCTACGGAATATTTCTGATATCCTGTGGATATATTGAATATCCACAAAAGATGTTCTGTGGATATCTCTCGGATTTGGTATGTTGTCTGGGTATCTCTCTCTACCTAACGGCAACTTTAAACTGTTGTTCTCTTCTCCGCTTCTTAAACATATATGTGTACACAACGTTGCCATTTAAGTTTTAGACGCAGAACATCATCAAATTTTTTTATATTCTTTTAATAAACATTGATGTTGCTTAATACATTTCATTATATAACAGGAAGATACTTGTGAGACACATGTGAATGATTAAAATAGAAAATGTTAAAATATCTAGAGTTAAATGGCAACAATGTTTTCGTTTTTAAGGCAATATTTCTGAGAATTTAGTGCTTACTATTTTGGAACTGAACTTTATGGTAGACAGATTCTGCCAAGCGTTTTTGGATTTGGAACCAACTTCGTGGGTTTTGGAGGAGGTGGCTCTCCTAACCCCCTTTTTTCTTCCTTCATTACAGCTATAATGACCGTTAAACCTAAATGTGGAGTTCTACAAAAAATCACTTCATATAGGGATCTACTAAACGTAATTTAGGCCAAGGTTTTGAATATTTAAAAAGTAGATTTAGGAACCCGATCAATTTACTGGATCTATGTCGCAACCCCTTAAATATACCAACCTTCCCTTAGGCAGTCATTTTGATTGGAAAGCCTAGTGGCGCGTATAGACAAAATGGGCCGGGCCCGGGCCAACAACGGGCCCAGATTCGTCAGATGTGTACAGTGTCGTATATCTACTGTGCGATGAAAGATGAAAAGCAAACGGGCTTACTTCGATCATAATTGGCCGCCGTGGAAGGCTCGTTGCTTTCCATCGCGCGGTAGATATACGACACCGTACAAATCTGACGAACATGGGCCCGTTATATCTATATCATAGAAATAGTAATCTATATGCACTTAAATAATGCTGCTTGGGATGCATCTGAGATGTTGTGTATCTTTGATCACGTGATTCAAGATACGTAAATGTAGCTACTGAATTATAAAATGAAGGTCGGTGAAATGTAGTCCGATGTGGATAAACAAAATCTCGAGAGGTAAAAAACCTTCTAAATCCATGTAAAAAACGCATGGAATGTGGTTATTCAAATTCAAATGTAGCATAGATATAACTAATTGTTATGCAACCAGTAAAAGTTTCCGGGATATTTTTGGTTACCTATATAGTAATAGAGCTGCGCCATCTTCCGCTGATAATTAGCAACGTTTTAATCATAGAACTAGGAATCTTTTATCTGTGGGACAATTTCTTTTTTAGCTCTGTGGTTTGAATGCTTTTGAAAAATTTTCTAATAAATGGAAATGAAGCCGCTTTGCTGACGAAATAACGTAGAGAATCAAATTCATTTGCTCTCTTTCACCCTCACCTAGACGTACTATAATATGTTGTCTAATTTTTTACTTTCCTATTGGATAGGCAATACGCAATGTCGATTTGTATTGTTGGCTGCGGTCATTTAACTACTGTTGTGAACTGAGAGGAAATTGTGTGGAGCTGTAAACTGAGTCTAAGGAGTATGCGTGATAACCTGAGATATGTGATGGTAGTGGTGGAAGAAACAAGGCCAATCCATGCGCGGAAACGTTCTGACTGCGAAACCGCGGGATATTTTAAATTCAAATACATCTCACTCGATCTCACCTGATCCCACTACCCAAAATCAACTGACTAATAATTAGAAATTAAAATTCATTAAGTGTTTTTATCGCATTTTATGATCTTTGTCAGGAAATACCTTGAACGTATATGAATAAATCAAATAAAATTAATCTTTATAACCCAAAACTATAATTCGTGAATAATTATATGATGTAAGTTGGCCAAGATAACAATTTTGATTTAGAAATTATTAAAATGAGTTAAAAAGGTGATTAAGCGGAAAAGTATTTAAAGAAAAATCGTTGAGAGCTTTAAGTAGCTCAAAATAAATTATTTTAATAATAGGTAGGTATTTTCTGTCTTGGCTTTGAGACGTTTATTAATCCATTCTAACATAAACATAAGCAAATCAAATACGCAATTTGTTATTATGTCACTCATTGTTTTTATCAATCTCGGTTTATGATGATTTATATTGCTTGCTCCCTAGATCCGTCAAAAAATATGTGGAATCGTATCTTCGACAATAGATGGCGACTCTCGCATTAGCATATCAGTCGCAATTTGCAAAGATAATTTCTTGTAACATACAATTAACGAACAGATTAGTTTCCAGAATTTTATATAAAAGATGTTAATGGATTTCGTCGCATGTTTAGAACAGTTTATTTTTAAAATTCGCGCTACTTCTTCAACAAATTACGCATGCGAAATGTTTTCAGTCTAAATAGTGTCAGTGTCAATTTGCTTTTCTACAGCAACACAGTGTGTGTAGTCATGGCGAATCCGAGAAAATTCAGTGAAAAAATCGCTCTCCACAATCACAGGCAGGCCGAGGAGACGGCGGAATTCGAAAAAGTCATGAAGGAAGTGATGGAAGTAAAGGTAAGCCAAATTTACTCCAACGATTTTTCTACCCGATAGGAATGACAATGTAAACAACATCGTTATGATATTTTCTTCACATAGATATTTTTCGACGCTCGAAATCGTTGCTTACAAACAAATTAAGATTACCGAACGTTTATTTCGAGTTCAGTCAATCCAATTTGGAACTAAATTTGAAAAACATCGCAACGAAATCGACACAAGAGTGGTGACAATCAATAAATAGTACACAACATTTTTGACAGCAACAATTTGAAATAGAATTATGCAGCATTTTTATAACAGTAAGAAAAACAATTCCAATGCTGATTTGTTTGTTTGGAAACTGTATGAAATAATTTAAAAGTGGAGTAACGCTTTAATTGGATAAATTTTATATCTTGATTTTTCATTTCAATTATTGATATCAGTGATATTATCAGTATTTTTTGTTAAAAGTGTTTAAATGTATTAAATAAACCTTAGTTTTAGGGTTTTAAATATAGAACCAGTATTTTTGAAGATATTTAAAGAAATTTACACTTATTTTCATAATTATAAACTGCAAAATTTACATCTGTTAATAAAAAACGTTGCAGTTTGCAATCCAAAATCATGGAAGGGGTATCTATATAAATATACAGAATTGACAGTTATAAATAAAATAGATTTTATAACAGTAAGAAAAACAATAATTGTAATGCTGATTGTTTGTCTAGGTCTGGAGACTAATTTCAATCATTGAAAAGTGAAGAAATGCTTTAATTGGATAAATTTTATCTCAAAAGTTATTTTATTTCAGTTGATATCAGTTATATACGTTTTGAAGGGATTTTTGTTAAATAAATTGCAGAATTTTTGTTTAAAATTGATTAAATAAACCTTACAAATCATAGTTTTAGGGTTTTAAATATAGAGCCAGTATTTTTGAAGATATTTAAGCAAATTTACACCTATTTTCATATTATAAACTGCAAAATTTACATCTATTAATAAAAAATGTTGCAGTTTGCAATCCAAAATCACGGAAGGGGTATATACATACAAAATTGATGGTTAGAAATAAAATAGATGTTTGTCTAGATCTAGAGACCAATTTCAATCATTGAAAGGTGAAGAAATGTTTTAATTGGATAAGTTTTATCTTAAATGTTATTTGATTTCAATTAATATCAGTGATACATTTTGAGGTGATTTTTGTTTAATAAACTGCAAGATTTTTGCTTAAAATTGATTGAATAAACCTTACAAATTGTAGTTTTAGGGTTTTAAATATAGAACCAGTATTTTTGAAGATATTTAAGCAAATGTACACCTGTTTTCATATTATAAACTGCAAAATGTACATCTGTTAATAAAAAAAGTAGTTTGCAATCTAAAATCATGGAAGGGGTACCTATATACATAAGGTTTGTTTGGGTTTCTTTAAAACTTTATGCAAATCATCAGTGAACCAGTGGAATAGTTGAATTCCAAATTATTCGTCTTGTACAACTATTAAACTGTCCACTGGCCAACTAGTCCTCTGATAGTTTTCAATGTATTTTTGAAGAACTTGAACAGACCTATACAGAATTGACAGAAATAAAATAGATTTTTGTAACAGTAAGATAAACAATAATTGAAATGCTGATTGTTTGTCTAGATCTAGAGACCAATATCAATAATTGAAAAGTGAAGAAATGCTTTAATTGGATAAGTTTTATCTCAAACTTTATTTTATTTCAGTTGATATCAGTTATACACATTTTGAAGTGATTTTTGTCGAGTAAATTGCAGAATTTTTGCTTAAAATTGGTTAAATAAACCTTACAAATCATAGTTTTGGGGTTTTAAATATATAACCAGTATTTTTAAAGATATTTAAACAAATTTACACTTATTTTTATAATTATAAACTGCAAAATTTACAATCCAAAATCATGGAAGGGTTATATAAATACAGAGTTATATAAATAAAATATATTTTTTTTAACACTAAGAAAAACAATAATTGTAATGCTGATTGTTTGTCTAGGTCTGGAGACCAATTTCAATCATTGATATATGAAGAAATGCTTTAATTGGATATATTTTATCACAAACGTTATTTTATTTTAATTGATATCAGTTAAATACATTTTGAGGGGATTTATGTTAAATAAATTGCATGATTTTTGCTTAAAATTGATTAAATAAACCTTACAATTTGTAGTTTTAGGGTTTTAAATATAGAACCAGTATGTTTGTTTATATTTATGCAAATTTACATTAAACCTTACAAATTTTAGTTTTAGGGTTTTAAATATAGTCAGTATTTTTATAGCACAAATATAACCGTGAAAACAAAAGTTTTTATTTATCTACAATAAATGTTCAAAACAACGACCATCATCATGAATAGGTACATATATGTGCTCTTCGCCTTATTGTTTAAGCTCTTCTAATTTCAAACTCAATTTGTCTCAGCATATTGGTGGCAACATTAATGGGGAATTCTCCTCTGAAAATAATATAACGTAAATAATGAAAAATATCTAAGATATATGACAAAAGAAACACCCTGTCAAATTTTTGTCCCCTAAAATTTTTTTCTGGGTAGTTAAAATTGCAAAACAAAGTCAGGTAGTTAAAGTTTAAAGTTTATTTGGACATTTGGCAACGTTGTAAGGTTGTTTATTAGAAATTCATCAGTTTCATTCAAGTTCTGCACTTGAAAAATCGCTTCCAGCCTTTTTTCTTATTCAAGAGAAAGGGAGATGGATTTCAGAATAGCTCAGATCAATTTTTGCACTCTGTATTTGAATGAGTTGTCTTCTTTTTGTTCTAACCTAGTCGTTTTGTGTATGTTTATATTTTTATCAAGATTTTTATAGTGTTTCACAGCATTTTACTAATATAATAAATATATGAATTTCATCAGTAAATAAATAAATGTATCATGACCATATTTATAATTATATTATATATGTTACCTTATAAAACATTAGTGTTTAATGTAGCAACATATATTGAAGTGATCTTCACAATAGTATTTTATACTTTTTATAAAGTCCTAAAGCCTGAAACCACTATTTTCGCATAAATAAAATGAGATAAATGATTTATTTGGATAAGTACCTATTCGTTGAATTTAAACACTTTGGTACTTATCCAACGAATATTTAATCTTACAAAAAGCAACAGCAAAAAAAATATAGTGAATGTCTTATCCTTTAAGCAAAAGCATTACCTATATATATTTTATAGACATTGTAATTTAGTGTAATCTAAATAAAACAGCAATATTATTATTATATTCCTGTATAACCAATCATTAGAATAGAAAAACTACAAGAATTACCTGAATTTCTTCTGAATATGTTTTTTAAACACAGGGATATTATTATAAAAACAAAAATTTATCAACAAGTAATCATTCATTATTTTTTATAATAAATCAAAACAAATTACCTTATCTCATTAGGTTTCTAAGTTAGGCCCTTTTCGCATTATTACTATTTAATGATTATAATCCATTAATGAGTTACAATCATTACAACACAAGTTTGTAAACCAATAGAAATTATGCAGTTTTAGATAATGGTTTTGGACCCTTCATGTCTGTGGTCAATTATTAGACAACGTTGCCAAATGTCTAATAACGAACGTAACGCTTAAAACTTTAAAAATCACGATTTTAATAATTTTTTCTCGAAATCGCGAATGAATTAAAAAAAAATTATGAATGAAACCAATGTTTATACGTAAATATCTATCAATTTTTGAAATAAAAAAAGGTAAGGAGAATTCCCCATTCTGTGTTGTACACTATTCTCTCCAAATGGACTCTGAAATAGTAGTCTAACGGGCTAAGATCAGGCGAGCCAGGCGGCGAAGTTATCGAGCCACTTTTACCCAGCGATAGCTCTGGATAATTTTCATCCAATCAATCCCTGTAGCCCCATCATGATGAGAATACCAGAGGCGGTTCGTGGCCTAGTCTACGAGGAGGCTACAGAGGATATTTTTGAAAGTACACCCTATATTCTAAATACAAATGTTTCTATTAGAATACAAAAAGCAGCAATATTAGATTGTATTCTAATAGAAATCTATATTTGTATTAAATATATAGGGTGTGCCAGCCTCCTTATAGACTAGGCCATGAGCCGCCTCTGGAAATTACATATAAGCTCTGATGTTCAGTGGTACATATACCAAGGAAAACAGCAAAGTACCTAGGACATTTTAAGTTTAAACCTGTGTATTTTTATACCCCATTTAAAAATTTTATGCCCTTCGTTTTTTTTACAATAATGAATCATCCCATTTTAAAAAAAAAAATTGTTTTTTTGTTTTTTCTGCATTTTTGTTTTTTCTGCATTTTTGTTTTTTTTTATTTTTTTTTTTTTTCTTATAACAACTGCACCATATTTTTAGGCCTTTGAAATTTTGCTTAATAATTGCTATTTTTGAATAATATAGAAATAATCTAACAGAGCTTCTTGGTTTTTTAGTTTTTATTTTTAGTTTTTTTTATTTTTCTGTTTTTTGGTTTATTTTTTGTTTTTTATTTTGTTTTTTTTTTTTGTTTTATTTTAACTACAGCTCATTTTTAGACTATTTTTTTTTTGGTTCCTGAAGTATTATAAAACTTCGAAAAAAAATTGCAATTTTTAAAAATACGAAATTTACTACCTTCCAACGAGGCCAGTAGAGCGCATCTCGGTTTTTTTAAAGATTTTTCTAAATAGCTATACTCTTTTTAGACCATTTTTAGGCTCTTGAAATATTATAAAATTCTTAGAAAGAATTTGCTATGGTAGATTCGAACGAACCCAGCAAAGCACCACTTTTTTTTAAAATTGTAACTTAAGGTAAGAGTGCTTTCTCCATATTTTTTGCTTTTAAATTAACAAAAATATAACAATAAATTATTTTTGTTTGAATAATCTGTTATAATGAACCACCTAGGTACAGAGATATATTTATTTGTATTATGAAAATAATGTTTATGTCAACAAACTTATGTTTGGTATTTGTAACAATTTGTAAAG